TGGCCGTCCGTGAGGCCGGCGGCCGGCCACCCATGAGCGGTGGCGGCTGGCCTAGCCTGTGCGAGGGGCCCTGTCCCTGGGGTCCCGCCACGGCCTTCTGCCCCTCCTGGCCCGGGGCCCCGGTGATGCTGAGGGAACCTCTGGAAGGCCCCGGCCCTCTCCTCGTGGACCTGGGGCGGAGGGCCGGGGGGCCCCACTGCCCAGGCTGCCCCTTAGCTGGCCCACGCAGGGCTCTGACCTGCTGCCCCATGTCCGCCTGGGGCCGAGGTGGCTCCCTGTGGGGGCTGTGGGCAGGAGGCGCCACCCAACACACCGAGTCACCGGGTGTGGGTGAGGGGTCTGCCTGGCACTCCAGGGACTCCTTGTCCAAGCTGTTCTGGGGGTGCCGCTGCTCTGGGCTGCTGTGTCTGGGGGTGGCCATGAGGCTGTGGGCCTCTGACCCTTGACTGGCCGCTCTGCGAGGGGTGCCCCATGCAATTGTATTTGAGGGGGCTGGAGCACTGCCGTGGCCGGCTCCGCTGGTCTCAGGTGGGGTTCAGCCAGTGGGGGTGGCCCTTCTCCCCGTGCCCCGCTCTGCACAGGGGAGCCAGCGTCACGCGTGAACTCAAACGCTCCACCTCCGCCTTCTGTGGGCATCCTGGCCCGGTCCTTCTTGTGGGGTTCCCCTGAATCCCCAGGCAGATTTTGGACAACTGGGGTGCAGCCTGCAGACAGCCCAGCTGGCGAGGTCGGGAGGCTCAGATGCGGCTCTTGGCCGGGTGTCCTCACGCTGGGGGGGGGCTGCTGGGAGGGGCACCCAGCCCCCCCAGAGCAGAGGAGCCTGGCGCCCTGCTGGGCTGGCAGGGGCCCTGGGCGGACAGGACACTGGTGCGGGCGGACGGATGGGCTCAACCCATTTCCTCCAGACACCCCCCGCCCGTCCGGCAATGGGGAGGCTGTGCCGACACCCCCCAACAACCCCCCCCGTCAGGGCCCCGTGTGTCCCGGGCACGCGCGGGCGTGGCTGCGGCCGGCTGCCCTGCTGGCCCCGGAAGGGCAGAGGGGGTCTCCAGAGACGGCAGCCAGCCGGCCCAGGCGTCCTCACGCAGGCGGGGCGGCCTAGGTGTAGCGGGCCTCACCTGCGCGTGAGCCCACCTGGCCCACCTGCCCGTGCCAGGCTGCTCGGGCCTCTGGGGTCACGACCGTTCCTCCCGGCACCGCCCAGGGCAAGTCCCTGCCCGCCCGGGCCTGCACCCCCACGGCCGCCTCGGGCGGGAGGTCAGTGTGGCTCCCTGTCCCGGCTCCGCCTCCCC